GAAGATAAGTATTACAGTAGTGAACCTTTTGTTACTGTTTCTGAGATTGGTTTGAAGACTCATCCTACTGGAATACCACCTTCATCGAGAGCAGCTCCGATATTGAAGAGTGATTTTAGAAGTTCGGCTTCTAATTCTAAAAGTACTGGATCACAAGGATCTGCGGATAGTAGTTCTCCAACGTTCTTTGATGTAGAGGTTGATGCAAATTCAGCTGCAGTGAGAGAAGCTATGGTAAAAGCTGAGGCAAAATTAAAAAGTGCAAAAGAGCTGTTAGAGAGGAAGAGGGATGGGGCACGAACCACCGCAAAGCCAACCTCCACGAAGAATAGAATAGCCGAGGAAGGGAAATCGAGCCATACAGCTGGTTTGCCCGTAGTTAAGACTAATATTGATGTAGCTAGAAATTCTTTGAGGGATAAGCGTGGAAGCAAGTCTCTGTCTTCTCAAGGGTCAGCAAACTCTGATGGAAATGATGAATGGAAAGAGGCTAATCAATTTGTTGAATTGGTGAGAACAGAGCTACCAAGAAATGCTGATGAGAGTAGTGGTGGAAAAGATGTTTCTATTCCCCTTAATGCAGAGTTTTCCGATCAGGAGCTGACGTGGGCAGCTAATGTTGACTGGGAGAAACAGCCGAGGAGAGCAAAAGGAGATAAGGAGGATCATGAAGCTAGGAGATTGCCAAAACACCATGGAACGAGAAAGGTAGCATCTAGGCATAAGAGACATGAGAACAAGCTTGCAGAAAAGGCTCCTAAAGAGCCAAAGAAAGAGAAATCGAGACATGTTGAAATGGGCACCAATTTACCTGATCATGGTGGGATAGTGAAACACAGAAATCTGCTTAGACCAGAAGAAAATAAGCTCTTTACTGAAAAGCCTGCAAAACAAAAGAAGGAATTGCACTGTGAAGAGAAAACAAAAGGCATACAAAATCAACAATCGGACAGAATACCACATCGGCAAGCAGTTGAAAAGAACCAGGAATTTGTGTATGATTGGGAACAAAATGCGAGAAAGCTCAGGGAAGCTCTTGGTAATGAAAGTACGCTAGAGGTTTCCTTGGAATTGAATGGAAATGGTAAAAAATTGGGAATGTGTGGCGAAAGTGAGACAAAACTGAATGACGCCTTGAAGCGGATGGAGGAGGAAACTAGGATTAAAGAGGCTCGTGTAAAGGAAGAAAATGACAGAAGAGAAAGAGAAGCTTTTGAGAAAGCAGAAAATGTGAAAAGACTAAAGGCAGCGTTGGAGCAAGAAGAGAAGGAAAGAAAGATTAAGGAAGCTCGTGAAAAAGCAGAGAATGAACGGAGAGCGGTAGAGGCTAGCGAAAAGGCAGAACAAGAAAGGAAAATGAAAGAACAACAAGAGTTAGAATTGCGGCTAAAAGAAGCTTTTGAAAAGGAAGAAAAGAACCGTAGAATGAGAGAGGCCCGTGAGAAGGCAGATCATGAAAGGAACATGAGAGTTGCACTTGAACAAGAGAAGGAACGAAGAATAAAAGAAGCTCGTGAAAAGGAAGAAAATGAGCGAAGAATAAAAGAGGCTCGTGAGAAGGCCGAGCTAGAGCAAAGACTGAAAGCAACTCTTGAACAAGAAGAGAAGGAAAGGCAGATTAAAGAGTGTCAAGAGAGAGAAGAAAATGAGAGGAGAGCTAAAGAGGTTCTTGAGCAGGCAGAGAATGAGAGGAAGTTGAAAGAAGCCCTCGAGCAAAAGGAGAAAGAAAGGAGGCTGAAAGAGACACGTGAAAAAGAGGAGAATGAGAAGAAGCTGAAAGAAGCTATTGAGCTAGAAGAGAAAGAAAAAAGGCTCATAGAAGCTTTTGAGAGGGCAGAGATTGAGAGAAGACTGAAAGAGGATCTTGAACAGGAAGAGATGAGGATGAGGTTGCAAGAAGCCAAGGAAAGAGAAGAAAGAGAAGAAAGAGAAGAAAGAGAAGAAAGAGAAAGACTACATAGAGAAAATCAAGAGCATCAGGAAAATGAAAGAAAACAACACGAATATTCAGGAGAAGAAAGTGACGAGAAAGAAAGAGATGCTTGTGAAATGGAGAAAACCTGTGAAACCACCAAAGAGGCTCATGGAGAGCAATCATCAAATGAAAGTCTTAGCGACATTCTAGAAGAGGATGAGAGTATAGACAACCACAAATCTATGAACAAACAAAACGAAGAAGAAGGACCAAGGCAGAGAGAATCTATGTCCGAAGAGACCTGTCCTTGGAAGGTTTTTGAGAAGAACCTCAAAGACGCCAGCCAAAAGGAAGGAACTAATGAGCTGGATGCTGAATCCAAGTTGTTTGAGAGGAATGAAGAGACACCTCAGCTGGGTGAAAATGGAGGATATAACCAACGAAATGGAGAATCGAGTGAGGAGTCCACTTATGTCATTGAGAATATTATAGGAGGAAAGCTCCAACAGAAGAGTAAAAATTCTGAAACCTCCAAAGATGCCTCAGTTCTCAAACGAGACAATGGGTTGAAAACTGAAGTTGAAGAAAGATCAGAAGACGATGTAGGTGAAGACCAAAATGTCAGAAAAGCAGGTGTTGGTCGTGATCAAAGGAATCCAGAGGAAAGTAAGTCCGCTCCCAAAACATCCTCTGGTTTCAGAAACCATGAAAATAAATTCACCCATCAGCAGGAAAGAGGAAATATCTATGAGACCCAAGCACGTTTAAATCAAGATGCAAAATTAGAAAGACCATTGCCTTCTCGAGTATCCGTGCAACGTGAGAAAGAAGCAGAGAGACTAAAGAGAGAAAGAGACTTAGAGATGGAGCAATTAAGAAAGGTAGAAGAAGAAAGGGAGAGGGAAAGAGAGAGGGAGAAGGATCGAATGGCTTTTGACCAGAGAGCATTGGCTGATGCACGTGAAAGATTGGAGAAAGCATGTGCTGAGGCCAGAGAGAAGTCTTTACCTGATAAGTTATCGATGGAGGCAAGACTTAGAGCAGAACGGGCAGCAGTGGAGAGAGCAACCGCTGAAGCTCGTGAACGTGCAGCTGAAAAGGCTGCCTTTGAGGCAAGAGAGCGAATGGAAAGATCGGTTTCCGATAAGCAATGTCAGAGTTCAGGTTTCTTTGGTGAACGAATGGAAAGATCAGTTTCTGATAAGCAATTTCAAAATTCACTCTCTTTTGGTGCTTCAAGATATCAAAATTCTACTGGTAAAAAAAAAAAAAAAACTCTGAAAACGCTCTAGTTGTTTTATTTTTGCATCCCCCTTTAGCTTAACTCTTTATTCTTTTCTTTTGTCTCTTAAGGTACTGAAGCTGAATCGCCTCAAAGGTATACATCGAGATTGGAAAGGCATCGAAGAACAGCTGATCGTGTGGTAATTAATGCTTTTATTTACCAAATATTCATTCTAAAATCCGCAACATTCTAAAATCAACGTTCATATTGAATTGTTAACAGGCTAAAGCTTTGGCAGAGAAGAACATGCGTGATCTTGTGGCCCAGAGAGAACAAACAGAGAGAATTGTACAACCACCAAACCAAAACTCTTCTTCAACTTCACATGAAAGCCTTCAAATTTTGTCAATAATCATATTTTGTTTCTCTTTTCCAACAGAGAATCGCTGAAACCTTAGACACCGAAGTAAAGAGATGGTCAAGTGGAAAAGAAGGAAACATAAGAGCATTACTCTCAACACTACAATACGTAACGTTTCCTAACCGAACAACATAGAGATCAAAGTTAGATAGTTAAAAGCTATTTCTCAAAATCAAGTTTTCTTTGTCTTTGTTTGTTATGAACCAGATCCTCGGTCCCGAAAGCGGATGGCAACCTTTACCGTTAACAGAAGTCATAACTTCAGCAGCCGTGAAGCGAGCTTACAGGAAAGCAACACTATGTGTTCATCCAGACAAGTTACAGCAAAGAGGTGCAAACATTCATCAGAAATATATCTGCGAAAAGGTCTTCGATCTTCTTAAGGTAGTTCATGTTCTGTCACACCTTCTTACACAATCTCTGAATTGGTCATTCTAAAATTTGGAAATGTGTTAATTTACTAATAAATTTCCAGGAAGCTTGGAACAGATTCAACTCAGAAGAAAGGTAGAGAGAGCCTTGTGATGTTGATGTTGACCTTGACCTTGGTCGTCTGATTTTTTCTTTAATTTTTTTTTTTTTGTAAAGTCGTGCTTCTAGGTAGTTTAAGAGTAGATAATCCTCTATATTTTCAATTAGATTGTGCCTTAGGTTTATTTTTTCTATGATTGCCAATTTGCCCAGATGATCATTGTAATCATTTTTAATTGCTACATTTTGCTGTTGATTCCTAATTGTTACATTGTTTCTCTGCAAAAATCGAAAACTCCAAAACCAAAATCAGGATTAAATACCCATAACAAAAGTTTTAGTTATCTTGTTAACAAATATAAATCTTCTTTAACAAAAAAAATATAAATCTTAAGAATTGAAAAAATCAGAAGTATTTCTTTACAATGACTAAATGACAAATAATAGTTTTTGAATAAAAAAATATTCCACAATCATGCTATTCACACACACACACACATATAGATGTCTTTTGGTTTTAAATTAGATGGGTTTTTTGACGTTTTAAAATAAGATGTTTTCTTAACAAAATGTTATTCATTTATTTGACCCCACTTTGAACAATAATGTCTAGTTCTATAGTTTTCTAAACAGAGCGTTATGATTTATTTGACCCACTTTGAACAAAATAAACATGTTATTTTATCCCCTAATTAGATTTTAATATAAACCAAGTCTCGTGGAAGTTCCTTGATTAGTTTAATTCTCTAATTAAAAATTTAATAATAAACCGAGAGTCTCGTGGAAGTTCCTTGATGAGCATGAGGTCAAGGATTGCGTTAGAAGAGACTTGAAAAGTCAAAGAAGCTCGTCGAAACCATCCTTGTCTTCTCTTAAATTAAATAATTTTTTTTCAGGATTAAAATTGTCGGACTTTTCAAATTAGCTAGCAACCAAAGTCTGACCATTTCCACTTGAAATTAAATAAGATACAACAACCATATAATCTTATCACATCTCTCTCTATATATATATAAATAATACATTGATCAAACTCTCTCATTACAACGAACAACAACAACAATCATCTCTTCACTTCTCTATTCACATCATCTTCTTGAATTTTAAAAGATGCAAATGCTAAGAAGCTTGAGCACGAGGACAAGAAGCCGTCGTGGAGGCTACGAGAGAGTGACTGATGATTCAACTTTCAGTTTACTCGGAGCAAAGCTAAGAAGATCGACGAGTGTTCCTTACTACGCTCCATCTATAAAGCTTGGTGCTGGTGGTGTTCCGACCATTCTTGAGGAGCTTCCTCGTCAGAAGTCCAAGAAAGTTAAACCAACAGGCAAATTTAGCCACCCGATCTTTAGTCTTTTCTATGGAAAGAAGAAGAAGTCAACGACGACAAAGCCTGAGTTTTCTAGGTATCTTGAGTATTTAAAAGAAGGTGGTATGTGGGATGCTAGAGCTAATGCGCCTGTTATCTATTACAAGTAGATCGATATGAATTTGTTAAAAAAGATCAAGAAAGAGAGAGAGAGAGGGTGAAAGTTTTCTTTTATTTGTTTGGTTCAAATCTTTTTCAATTTGTGATGATATTTGTATATATATATATATTTCAATGATCCAATATTGTTTTAGAAGCATTTACAAGTATTGGAAACAAAATTGTATGCTTTTGAGCACATTTTTGATTGGAAATGATTTTGAGTTTCAAAAGCAATGGCTTAGACAAGTCAAAAGTCAAAATTGATGTGTCCAGCCGAAACGAAGCCGTTTATCTCTGTTGGTTACTTAGAGCTTAACAGTACAGAAAAAGCCACAATGAATAAACGTAGTTATCTGGCTTCATGATCAACTCTTCATAGCAATTGTAATAATGCAAAACAACCCAAGCAGCAAACACATTTATGTACAACTCTAAGTAGTTGTACATCTCTACGATATATTTGTTGTACAACAACCACACAGTTAAACAAGAAATGATGGTAGAGGCAAATGGGTGTTGCGCTGCCAAATTCGACGTACGAATTTTCTGAAAGTTACTGAACACACAATGCGCATATAGTAATTGACAATAGAAAAAGTACATTCATACGGAAAGTTTCACTTGCTTCCTTTTGCTCAAATGGTTGACTCATAATTTTTAATCTACAATTAGATATCAAGATTAATCTTATAAAATATTTTTCTTAATTAAATTGGACTCATCGTGTACATGTATTAAATTACAAAAATATGCATGAAATTACTAGAATATTTGTTCATATATTCTTTTATTTTTTAGTTTGTGATTGTATATTTCAATGATCCAATATTTGTTTATAAAGATTTATAAGGTATTGGAAACAAAATTGTATACTTTTGAGCATATTTTGTAGCTTATCTCTGTTGATTACGTGGAGCTTAAGGAGGCTTCACCTCAATCCGAAAATTCCAAAAAACCCTAAAAAGAAGAAAAAAAAAAATCAGATTTAGGATAGACATAGCTCGATTTCTTCGTCGAAATGTGACGTCATCTTTAGTTTCCGAGAAAGTTTCCATCTTCTCCGGTTAGAGAATTAGGTTTTCGAATCTCGAGGAAGGTAAATGTTAATTTTCTCTAGCGAATTAGATTCAAGGTGTTCTTTACTCAATTTGATTGTATCTGGACCTGAAACTAGTAAACTTGGTATACAAGAACCAAGACAGAGCAATTCAAGATTTGGTTCTGCAATGGTGCAGAGAGCATTTTAAGCTCAATTTTTTTTTTTTTGTAGTAATCAAACAAAATTCGGAACCAAATCGCTTTCTTCTACTTATCAGGTTGCATATTTCATATTCAGATATTTGCTACATATATAGCTAGGTTCCAATGTTTCAGAGCTTCTTTCTTAGGACAACAACAAATGTGATGGGTCTTATGTCTTCTTTAGCCAACTCTTCGTCAACCATTCTACTATATGTATCAAACAGCTTGTCAAGAATCTTTTCCCCAAAGTATTGAACAAGCATTGATTCTTGAACTGCTCTTACAGTCTTCGCAACGGCCTTACCATAACTGGTATCGTTCACGTTCTCTTTATCTTTCTCCACTTCTAACATCTCTAACCTCTCTAAGTCAAAAGACCCTTCTTTGTTCACTTCACCTTCTATCTCATCAGCACTCGGGGCGTAAAAATGCATATCGTAAGAATCAAGCTTCTCTTCCTCAGTCTCTCCCTACAAGTAAAATGGAAATCAAGATCCATATTTTTGTAAAAGCAACAGATGTATCTATCTATATACCTGTGCAACAAGATCTGCTATGGATCTTGAGAGAAGTTCCCAGAAGAAAGAGTTTCCTCTATCGACATGACCAGGACCTTCTCTTCCGAGTATTATGAGCACCATTCTTCCTGCAGCAACCATCTCTTTTGATCTACACCGGAGGAAAATGGAGAAATCTTCCTTGAATTGACTGTAGTAAGCTTCGGAAACAGCTTCAGAGCTCGAGGAGCAAATACTAACACAACCTTTGTTTATGGACTTGCCTTGCTCGTCATATAAAGCTGCAGGAACCTGCAAAGACCAAAAGAAACAACTTATTAGTATCTATATACTATATATGAATATATCTATATATAATTAATTACCTTGGAAAGCCAGTGTAAGCTATAAGAGGCATAGACAAAGTGGATGGTTTTTTCAGGGAAGAGTCTTCCATAGAATGATCCAGGGTAAGCTGCAATGAAAACTGAAGGGGAATCGCCATTGTTGTTGTCTCTCTTGAGCTCTATGTGGAAGTCTGGTAATGACTTGAATATGGAGTTGAAGTCATTTCCAGGGAGATCGTTAAGGAAGATGCTGAATTCTGGCAAGGGCTGGTTTGGGATCTCGCGGTGGTGAGCAACTTGGACGGTTTTGATGAAGTCTTTAATGGTGGAGAGTGTGTTTGGTCCTGAAGAACAACCTAGATCAGCTATTCCTAAGCTCTTGGGTCTTGTCTCTTTGTAGAGTTGTTGAAGTGTCTCTAGTGTTATGTGCTTTGCCACATCAGAAGCTTTCTTCTGCAAGATCAAAACAGCAACAAAAGTGATTAGAGAGAGTCAAAATTATGAACTAAGTGGAGATATGTGAGAATCTCAAGAACCTACCTGGAGGGAAGAGTTTCTGGCATAACTAGTTTTGCCATCTCCTCCTGTCATGTGAAACTCTCTCTCCAGATCCTTCTTATCCATCTCAATAACAATAAAAGTGAAATTTTTTGGGTTAGGGTTTGTTCTTTTGGTGTTAGAATTTGCTTTTCTTAAAGGAGAAATCTTTGGCCTGTCATTTCAATCTTCCATTACCCTACTTTTTTTTTTTTTTTTTTTTGCTGTTTTGTGTTTTCCATAAACTCTATTTTCTTTGGGACCGCTCCCTTTCTAAGCAGAGGTTTTGTTATGTTTGATTGTTGTGATCTTCTTCTAAGATTGCATAGGTTTCTTCTCCTTGGTGTGGTTCGCTGTGTTTGATAACCGTCTTGTTCCTTCATCGTGCTCGTTCGTGAGTTTGATGATTTTTGAAGGGTTGTGCCTCTCTCCTTGTACTTGCTTTCCTGATCTGTTTAGATAGGATCGCTTTTTGAAGGGTTCTATCTAGACGTTAAGTGACGCATCCGTCGTCGTCGTCGCATCCGGAAGCGTGTTCGTGGTTCTTGTATCTTGCTTGCCGGGTTATGAAGTCCTTGGTTTCGAGAGATCTGCTCTCATCATGATAGGAGGTGGTAGTTGTTATCTTTGGATTGGCCGCGGGCATCCTTTTTAAATCTCATTCACAGGTGCTTTTGAGGAAGAGGTTTCTTTGCTTTCTTTGGTTTATTGCTTCCCTTAGGATTTATGCCTTATTCCCTCTGTTCTTAGTTTATAGCGTCGTCCTCTTTCGATTCGAATTTTCTGCTTGGTATTTCTGATGTTTTTAGCTTCCCTTTCTTAGGGTTTAGTTTCCGGGGAAATCACGTCTTCCGCCGGCTTTAGTTTCTGGGGATTTTTCTTTTGTCCGCCAGCTTTAGTTTCCCTTGTTTGGGCATTTGTAATTCTCATTGTTTCCACAACAAGTTTAATTAATCAAATTTCAGATGACAAAAAAAAAAAAAAAGACTTGAAAATACGATGTGGGATTCGTTCATCATTGTTCATGATTCAACAAAGAGAAAATTTTCTTTGGGTGGATGAATTTAGTTTAGAAGGAGAAATGGTAGGTATAGCCCAAAGTGACCAAAAATAGGAATAAACAAAGTAGAAAAGGATAATGTTTCATGTAGATATAAAGGGTAAATTAGTCAAACAACATCATGATGGCTTCATGTAATGTTTGTACTTTCTTTACTCTGTTCTTGCTATCAGTGCTATGCTCTGTTTGCTTTGAGTGGTGGACTCTGTTTCCATAAGGACTTTTCGTTTTAACATAAACTAAAATTTCATTAGAAAGATTACTCTTGCTAGAATCTATTTGGTGAATTATATGAAAAATGGTGGAGTGTAATGTAAATGATCCTCCAAAACATAAAGAAAAGTATAGGAAACTTTGGGACAGAATATGATTAAAGGAGGAAGAAGATTGCTTGACTTTGGAAGGCAGAAAAAGCTAAATAAGAATGAGTGATGATGATTGGTGTGTGTGACCACCATTTCCTTCTCTTTCTCTCTCTTTCTTCCTTACCTTAAGGCTTTTTTAGTAGTCTTTCTTTCTCTCTCTGCCTTGCCTTTAAGATTTTAGTGGTGGTCATGAATGCTTATTGAGTAGTGTAGTGTAAATGCTTTGTTGGGTGAGAGAGTGTTGGTATGATAAGGTTTTTGTGGTTAGAGAGAGGGGGAATCACGCGTGTCGCTTGAGGGATTAATGGAAAACCGTAACGTATAGGCTTTGAAAACATTTATAACTTTATTTAATTAATAAACTAAACATATTTACATTCTACTAAAGCATATTTAAAATTTATTACAACTTCCATAAGAAAAAAAGAAAAAAAAAACACAATAAACATAACTTTGTTGAGCTATTTTATTGATTGAAGTACATACCTCAAGACTCTACGACTAAAAACGTTTGAGGTGTAAGGTTCAAAACATTCATTGTTCCCAAGAATCTGGCTGGTTGAAGCAGTTGGCATTAGTGCCACTAGAAGAGAATTTCTGATTACATTCTTTGAAATCATATCCATGAGAGCAGCCCAGTCCCAGCGGTCCGAAGGAATTACACTCCACGTAGCAGGTTGCACAACTCCCTGAAAGTAGATAAACCATCCAAGAAATTAGGAACAAGAATTTATGACTACGTTGTACATATATCGAAAGAATTGCTGGTTGTGATGCATATTTTACTCACAGGACTTCCTTGGTAAGTTTCATATGCACCTTCCTTCGTAGCAATCTCTGAAGATGACTTGAGTGCATGGTAGTATGTCTTTGTTAACAAAATGAACCAAGTAGTTAAGTATTGACCTCTGCTACCTTGTCAATATCAAATGAACGATTCATTGGGCCCAAACTGCCTACAATATTAGATGGATGCGAGTTCAAGGTGATGTCCTGATGTGTGAGATGTAAGAAATGTCAAGAGCTACAATTTTTGGACTCACCTTCACCCTTACAAAACCGGGGTAAGACAATAGATGCAAGATTACACACAGCTGTTTCTGCTGGACTTGTGTATTCAACGATTTCAGTGCATAAATTGGAAGACATTAATGGTATGCAGATTTTGTTGATTGCTTTTCCTGTTACATGAATCCCACACAAGAGTTTTAAAACTCAAAAAGTGGGAAACCACAGAAAATATGTTTATACAGAGGGGCAACAAAATTACAACTGTTTCTTACCTTGAAAAGCATGTATGGTGTTCCTGTTTTTACTTGGGATGTCAAGATTTCGTACCAAAGCTGCTGTTGTGCCTGGACAACCTTCTTAGCCTTACCCTAAAGATACAAACAAAGATGCTTCACATAACTGGTATTAATATAACAGGATTTTGAAAGGAAGCAGTAAATCCAAAAGAGATAAATCATTCACCACATTCTCATACTGAGTGTACAATTTCTCAAATTCTGCACCGCAACAATCTGCCAAACCTGGAGCTTCATTGGAACAAAACAGTGACCACTGTCCATCAGTCTGGACTCTCTCCATGAAAAGATATGGTATCCAAAGACCATAAAACAAGTCTCTAGCCCTGTGTTCCTCCTGAAATGGAAAAAAAAAAGGGTTAATTGTGAGCTATCTCCATGAATATATTATAGGGCAAATGACTAATGTTTTCTTGGTGCAACTGTACCTTTCCATGACATGTATACCTTTTCTCTTGCCTCCTCCTTGGTCAACATAACTAGCAGTAGCATTGAATACCCGAAGCACTGGAACAATACCATTACAAGTTTCCCTATTCCCATTTACTTTTTTCAACTTCTTTTCTCCGTCACACGAACTTTTGCCTCCTTCCTTCTACATCTGCTTTTTTTTTTTGCCTTCACAGAAAATAGAATTTCTTATCTGCTTTTTTCTCACCTCATTTTCCCAAATACAAGTATCTTCTTATTTATCGACAAAATTTTTGCAAGTAAATCACGATAAGAATGGAAGCAAACAATAACAAGAGCTACCAACCATCATTCAGAACTCTGAATCAGACCATACACCAAACAATAGAAATACACAATTCGGTATACGATCTACAAAATCAAGTGACATAATGCAAATCAAAGAATTGCCCCTTCTTGAAAGAGAGTTTTCAGTAATCACATATCAGAAAAGATACTTGATCTATTACAATAAGAATATGCTGTGCACAAGTTCTAAATGATAGGTAAAGCAAGTGAAGATTGGTACAGTTAATGCTAAGGCATCATACCTTAATAAAAACAGAAGCAATCTGAAGAAAAAAATGGCAAAAAATAGCCAAAAGCGGCAATTCATAAATAAGGGATCCAACTTCAATTAGAGAAACATACTTCTCCATAGATCATAGCTAATTGGTCAATTTTTAATGTAAGATACTAGCATAAACAGATTTTGTTTTAATTGTGTATCTAAAAGAACAAAAATCAACAAACGAACCTGAAGAACACAGCGATTGCTTACTCTTCAGTGAAGAGAACAGCTACAAAGAGAGGGGAATTATCTGCAGCAATTATCCAGATATATATTAAGCTACAGGCCGGAATATCACAATGTTGTATACAAATTCACAAAATCTTCAACAGAAAATAATATCAAAGAATAAACCAGGAAAAAACTATGAGCCAATAATCATACCAATTGAGTTTAAAACCGACAGGTCAATTTTCTCATCTCAATTAGTCCTGAAAAGTTACTTTGTTAGAGGTTCCACTCCCAAGCTTCTGGAACCACTTCCTTTTTAGTTTACCAGATTCAGGAATGATGCTTTGATCCATGTAAGATCCATAAAATGGCTGATAATTTAGCAAGAAGAAACATATTGTCTAAATTAGTAGTTCTCAGAAGTATATAAATCCTATGACAGAAGATGGAGCAAAGAACCTGAAAAGAAATTACATGCAATGAGAGGATATAACAAACTTGGAAGCATAAGTTTCAGACATTGAGAGAAACAGAATATAAAACCTTAACGGTATATGAGAGAGGATCAAGTTCAGAGACAAGATTGGCACACTCAATTGTCCCCCTAATCTCGCCGCCTTCGGGGCTTCTCTTCAAGGAAATCTCCGCACACCAAAGCTCCAGCCTCTTAGTACCAGGGATATGCACCTTGCGAATACAAGGAAAATCGTCCTTGTGAATTTTAGGGATATGCACCTTCCAGAAGACGACAATGTTCCCACGAGAGTTGGTGGTCAGTCTGCTGAAACCATTTTCGGTAGCAGAGTAGAGCTTCCACCCGAGCATTACGGTCTCAGAAGAGTAGTGCCCTCTTAAACCAAATAAAAGCCACTGCATATCATCCAAACCACTCACCTCCCTCCAATCCAACTTGTCTGGCTCACACCACAGTATTCTTCCGCGAGTACCACAACAGTATAACAGTTTACCTATGGCACACCAGTCTTTTCTGTTTCCCGGCTTAGAATCCTGATTCCCTCTTCTCCATATACCTTGACGTGGCAGGTAGTAGAAGCTTTGATCCTCCTCGTCCACCGCATAAACTTTACCTTCCATGACCAGAGTTTTGTCGATGATACTTGTGTTGTGGCGTATCTCTGGATCATCAGGTAATGGCAAGGTATCCCAAGTTTGGGTCTGTGGGTCGAAAACCTCTGCCCAGTTGGAGGAATCGACCTCCTCCTCCTGGCAGCCTCCAGTTGCCGTCTACGACGTTTGCCGCAGCGGAAGCGCGAGGCACTCTCATGGATGGGACGCGTCGCCAGGTGTGAGAGAGACAATCGAGAAGCAAGACATCCGAAGTGGGGTTTCCGTGTCTGAGTCCACCGATTACATAGATCCCAAAATCCAGCTCTACGAAAGAGGACGATTCTGGAGGCTGATAGGGATGCGACAGGATCGGTCTCAGCCGCTGATTTACAGACTTGTTATCTAGAGTAGGACCTCCACGGCGGAGGATGAACCAGCGTGGAGTTGGGTCAGGACGAATGCTTAAGCAGACATACCAGTACTCCTCGGTACAACCCATAAGCTCACGCGCGCGGCAGAGCTCAGGAGAAACCACGAGAGAGCGGTGGCTCTTGGAGGTCAGAGACAAAGACGCGCTATCCAATCTCGAGAGGCGGGACAAGCAGTTCAGAGCAACATCGTGTGGCAACGACGATAGCCAAGACGGAGACAGAGACGCCTCCTTCTTCTGTCTTTTATTGTGCGGCGGACCACCGGCGTAATTGGACATCGTTACAGTATGATTGTGTCACAAAACAATCCCTGGGGATAAAATCAATGCTCCGATTCTCCTATCTTGTTTTCGGTTGATTGATTGATCTCCTGAATTCAGCGGCTGACGACTTTTGGGGTTGAAAATTTTTCAAAGATTCGGACAAGAAGCTCTTTTATAACTACTTTCAGTTTTTGATCTCCGATACCGACTTTGACAAGTTTTTTTTTTTTTTTTTGGTCGTATAACGGATAAGCTTAGTTTAACATTAAACCAAAAAAGAAAAGAAAAGGATAAGCTTAAATCTCGTACCAAAGGTTAGTTTAATCGAAAAAATTGAAGGAATATAGTACAAGTGGAGTGGCTGTTGAATCATTGGGCCTCTAACAAAGCCCATATTTAAAACTCAAGACCATTCCATTAAAATGACGTCGTATTAAAGCAACTAAAATTCGTTAGGTCAATAAATCAATATCTTCTGCTCCAATCAATTGGGATTTACATTGAATCATACATATAGTTCCGACAGAGGAAGCTTATTTACTCTTAACACTTAAGACTTAAGTGTAATTTTTGTGATTTTGGATTGGATTTAGCTTTTAGATGTCATGTTTGATGTTTTGTTCTCTTTATTTGATCATTTGAGCATATACAATGATTTAAAACTTCGGGTATTGGAGTCATATTTCGGGTTTATGGGTAATTTTACCCATTTAGACTCGAAAACAATGGGGACCCAAATTTTTCGGATTTTTTTGGTTCTCATACCTATTACTCAAACCGACCCGAACCCGACGGTACCCGAACCCGACCGAAACCGAATATTTAGAAATACCCGAATGGGCCAGAAATTCAATATCCATTCAACCCGAACCCGACCGAAACCGAATCTTTAGAAATACCCGAATGGACCAGAAATTCAATGCCCCATTCAACCCGAACCCGAACGGATTACCCACATGCCCAGGCCTAGGTGTTGTCATTGTCATTCTCCTCTGTCGGAACTCGGAAGTCATATCCTCTTCCTCGTGTTTAAGGACTTATCATTTACAACCTAAACTAAAACGTTTTTGTTTCTTCGAAAGATTTCTTTGACTCTTGCTTATGTATTGGATGTTCATATCATCACATGGTTTAGCTAATGCTGAGTTATATTTATGATATGATATTATGGTTGAACAGAATAGGAATAATATATGTATAGTGTAATTTAAATGTTACAAAAAATTATAGAGAAAGTAGGGGAAACTTTGGGATCGAATATGATTAAAAGAAGGTTAATAAAAAGCTAAACAAGAATGAGTGATGATGATTGGTGTGTGTGTGACCACCATTCCCCTCTTTCTATCTCTTCCTTACCTTTAGGCTTTAGTACTCTTTCACTCTCTCTCTCGACCATAACCTAAGGCTTTTAGTAGTCTTTCTTTCCCTCTTTTCATTTCCCTTTAAGACTTTAGTGGTGGTGATGAATGCTTATTGAGTCATATAATTAACTTTAGTGTATATGCTTTGTTGGGAAAGAGAGAGTTTGATAGTTTTGGTACGAAATGGGTCTGTGTTTCGAGAGGCACTCACGCGTGTCCTTTGAGGGATTAATGCAAAGCCGTAACGTATCAATCTTATTCTGTGGTAGGAGTTCTCATAAACGTTCATATAATCTCTTCTTAAACCATGATCTTGGGATTTTTATTTTTGTGTGTGTGGTGAAAAGATAATCTAATTGTTCGCTTTCTTGTTAGATTAAAAAAATTGGTTCGAGTAGATTTTGAACTTAGTCACTATACCAAGGTTAGTTGATTCTCTAGAATCCAACTTGTATATTATAAGTTTATAACTTTTAGATTACAAAAGAAAATGAATAGACGGTGGACAAAAGTAGACCATAAAGGTTTGGAATTTAGTAAAGTCTCATCCATTTTTTTGTTACCACTTCAATATCTCCATAAAAAACTGGGTTCTTGGGCTCTATGATTTCCAACGAGAAGCAAGTTCAAGTATATGTACATCAATTTCAAAGCTACACAAAATTAAAGTGATAGGGCATTATATAGCTAGGAAATGATATTGTTATGTGAATGGATCATATGCAAAATATTTAAACTGATAGTTATCCTCTATTAATCAATTAAAAAATAAATAATCAGTGTACAAATAAAAATCCAAGTGACAAGGGGAATGTGTCTTTAGTCAAGTGGTTAAATCCATTTGACTCCGCTTTCCCCAGCGGATTTTGACTCCATTAAATCGCGTTATCCCGCGTAGTAAAGATTGGCTATGGATCGGACTTTATTGATAAAAAAAAAAAAAAAAAAAAAAATCCAAGTGACAAATCTAACTGCAATGTTCAAAAGGTCAAATATCTGCATACGACAAATTAGTGATTGTGTGCTGTTGAAACACTGGGGCTCTAGGCCCATATTTAATACTTAACGCGTCGTATCGATGAACGAACACACAGATCTGGGCCCAAGATTCCCCTGACGTATTACGAACATAGACAAATCCGCTCGTCTTCCTCTTTTCCTTTTTTTTTTTTTTTTTTCTCTGAAATTGAATTTTTTTTTGGCTCTGCGTTATCAAAAATCTCGAGAAAACGTTGAAAGTCAATCTTTTTGCATCGCCAAATTTGAAAACACTCCTCGTGTGTTTGACACTCTCGTGGGCACGATACCTTGTGCTCCTTCTCGATTTTGCCACACAGAATCCAATTGGGATCAGGTAACATTCCTCGTTTATGTGTCGGATCTAATTGTAATCATATACTTTCTTAATCTGTTCTCCGAGATTTCGATTTCTCGTTGCTCAGTGATCCGATGACAGATCTTTCCTGATACGTTTTGTCGTTTTTGGGGATTCAAAATTGCTACTTTTTGTTGTTTACTGATCTGAATTTTGAAAAAATTTGAATACTAATTTGAAGATTGGGTTTTTGTAGGTTTGCCCAAAGTTGAGCTAGCTGCCCTTTTGCTCGATTCGTCGAGCAAATCAAGACTATAGAAGAGAAAAGTACAGAGCTTTATTTAGCAAATTAGCAATGGCTTCGAATCTCGTGGAAATGTTTAATGCTACTTTGAATTGGGTTACTATGATGCTGGAGAGTCCTTCAGCTAGAGTTGTCTTATTTGGTTTCCCAATCCGAGGTATAGATTTGAAGAAACAGCTTTAGGTGAACTTGTGTGTCTATCAAAGTTTTTAGGATATTTGAGATTACTAAAGATTTCAACTCTTTTCTTTTGTTTCCAGGGCACTTCTTTGTGGAAGGGTTGTTGGGTGTTGTCATTGTCATTCTCCTCACTAGGAAGAGTTACAAACCTCCCAAGCGACCATTGACCGAGCAGGTTCTGTCTCAGATCCTTTCATCATATTGGTTTGATAGATCATAGGATTTGGTTCTTGTATCATCTCTGATTAGTTTTGGAAACAACCCTTTGTGTGGTATATTGTTGAAATGTATTGAGTTTTTGGGGGTTTATATTACGCAGGAAATAGATGAGTTATGTGATGAATGGGTTCCTGAACCTCTTATACCTCCAATTACTGAAGACATGAAGCATGAGCCACCAGTTCTTGAAAGGTACCCTAGAAGACTTCTCTGTATTTCGTTTTGTAGCATGTTTCTGTTATGCTTTAAGATTCTGTTGGGTCCATACAGTGCTGCTGGACCGCATACAACAGTTAATGGCAAAGATGTGGTGAATTTTGCCTCAGCTAATTATCTTGGGCTCATTGGCCACGAGAAGTTGCTGGTAACGTGAAGCTAATTTGTTTTCAATACACTCTCTTCTGTTTGAATAGTTTTATTTAAGATTAGTCTTATGCCAGGAATCATGTACTTCTGCATTAGAAAAATATGGTGTCGGTTCTTGTGGTCCTCGTGGATTCTATGGTACAATTGGTAAGAAGTCAATTATTTTTCTAGATAAATACTTTGGTTCTTCCATTAGCTTGCTTCAAAAGGGTTCTTACTATTTGATTACTTCTCTTGACTAGATGTCCATCTTGACTGCGAAACCAGAATATCAAAATTTTTGGGTACTCCTGATTCAATCCTCTATTCTTATGGACTTTCCACGATGTTCAGCACAATTCCTTGTTTCTGTAAGAAAGGCGATGTCATTGTTGCGTAAGTACACAATTTCTTAAAACGTCTTTCTACTTATTAGATTATGTTAGTAGAAATCCCAGGATTACATTGAATTTCCTTGTTAATACGGGTCTTTGTTTGAAACTTTTTTTATCTCGAGATTAAACTAATATTTGTCTTATCAATTTTCTTAGTGACGAGGGTGTTCACTGGGGAATACAAAATGGACTTCAGCTTTCAAGAAGTACAATTGTGTACTTCAAGCACAATGACATGGAATCCCTTCGAAGTACCCTTGAGAAAATCATGACAAAGTACAAGCGCTCAAAGAACTTGAGGCGTTATATTGTAGCTGAAGCTGTATATCAGGTATTTGTAAACACCTCGCTGTTTTCTTTCCTCTCCTGCTTCCATATTTTGAAAGTTCTCCCTGAACTCTGATGCTTACCCATTTGTCTTTGGGTATGTTAAAATCTACAGAATTCTGGTCAAATTGCGCCTCTGGATGAGATTGTAAAACTAAAAGAGAAGTATCGGTTTCGTGTTATATTGGATGAAAGCAACTCTTTTGGTGTGCTTGGCCGTTCTGGGAGAGGTCTTGCAGAGCATCATAGTGTCCCTGTACGTATGAATGACACACATTTTAGTAGTGTTCTCATTTGCTAAACCTGATGCTAAAATTTTTACGGCGGTTTATCTTTAAACAGATTGAGAAGATAGATGTTGTGACTGCTGCAATGGGCCATGCATTAGCCACAGAAGGTGGATTTTGCACTGGGAATGCTCGCATCATCGATTACCAGGTAAACATCGATCATGCTGTTTAACTAATTACAAACAAAATCGAAAACTACCGATTATAGAAACTTAACTCACGCTGGGACTCTCAAATGCACAGAGGCTTAGCAGTTCAGGATATGTGTTCTCTGCTTCTTTGCCACCATACCTTGCAAGTGCTGCTATCACCGCCATTGATGTCATTGATCAAAACCCGGATATGTTAGTTAAGCTGAAGCAAAATATTGCTCTGTTATGGAAAGGTTTGATCTTTCAATCTAATTAAGCAACAATTAGAGTTTGATTTAGTTTGTCATCTTCCTCTGAGTGAAAACGAAATGCTGGGAACAACGCAGGATTGTCAGATATCAAGGGGATGTCGTTAACAAGCAACCGGGAATCGCCTATTGTTTTCTTAAAATTAGAGAAATCCAGCGGTTCAGCTAAAGACGATTTGCTTCTACTTGAGGAAATGGCGGACCGTGTAAGTTCATTGTTTCTTTGCAAAACCAAATCTAGACCCTGTCCCCATTTCTTGACATTACTAGATGCATGCAGGCTCTGAAGGAAGACTCGTTGTTGGTTGTGAGTTCTAAAAGATCATTTCTTGATAAATGCCGGTTACCTGTGGGAATCAAACTCTACGTTTCTGCGGGACATTCGGAGTCCGATCTTCTTAAAGCATCCGAGTCGCTGAAGAGACTTGCTTCAGAACTTCTACTCAAGTCTTAAAACACCAAACTCTTTTTCTTCAAGAACAACACTAAGGGAACTCTTTCAACACATGCGCTTGAGATTATAGACAACAGAATCCGCAGACTCAACAGCTTGCAGATGTTCATAGCAGATTCCTAAACCGGTTCTCTACTTTCAGTAATGGGCTTGTGATTTATCTGAAGCTAAATTGACGAAGGAGGATTATCGAAGGCAATGGCTTCTTGTTCTGACATTTATGAAAAATTTTCCAAATGTTTTTCATTTGATCATTTGAGTTCTTTCTTTTTCTCTTATACCCTTAATGATCAAGTAGCTTTAGTGTTGTTGCAGAAATTCAAAAACTTTCAATTTATGGGAAAACTAAAAAGTTCATGTTCTAACTCCACTCCAGCCTCTCAAAGGCTTTCTGTGTTTCTTGCGGCAAAAGAAAGGTTTTGCATAATACCTCTCTCAAATCTCAATAAGTATTGACACATGTCAGTATAACACTCGTGTGCGTATATCTATCTTCCTCTGTTTCTAAATTTGTATAATTAGAACTGCATAACAAAAAAAACAAGAAAACTGCGACCAAAAAAAGAAGAAGAATCAATGGTTGGGGAAAGAGAGAATATGAGGATGAGGTGGAGCTTTACCTCGACGTTAATGGAGCCGAGAATCCAAAGGAACGATTTTGAGAGATTTTCGGAACAATCTCACTCTCCTTTTTATCTTTCTCCTTCCTCTCATTTCCACTTTGCAGAGGTATTTTTTATCTCTCTGTTTTGTTCTGTTTCTTTCCTTCATGTTCATCGTTGTTTTTCGAATTTGATTTGTAATAAGGGAATGTGAATTTCTTGCAGGAATTTGGCAAAGGGCATTGGTTAAAAATAATAAGACACTCTCGTTAGAGTGCTCGTCCCTCGTGCCCTTATCTGCCTAATTCCAACTATCTGGCAAATCATGACTTTGATCCAAGGTAATCAACCACAAGGAAGAGACTTTTTAGTTCTCTGTTCTTGATCCTCTGTTTTGTTATCTTCTTGTTCTTGATGTTGTTTTGTGTTGGGGTTGTTGTGTTTTTAGATGCCGAGTTGAAACCAAGGATGGGTTCTTTTAAGAAGAGGAGCTCCTCTAAGAATTTGAGGTATTCAATGACAAAGAGAAGGAGAAGTAGCAAAGTGATGTCTGCGGAGATCATCGAAGATGTGCATGACGCCGAGGAGTTGAAAGCCGTTGATGCCTTTCGCCAATCGCTTATTCTCGATGAGCTACTCCCGGAGAAACACGACGACTACCATATGATGCTTAGATTTTTGAAGGCAAGAAAATTTGATCTTGAGAAAACCAAACAGATGTGGACTGAAATGCTTAGATGGAGGAAAGAATTTGGTGCTGACACTGTCATGGAGGTATGATTATTATTCAAGAGGAACGTTTTGCAGACTTGACAATGGTCTCTTTGAGTACTAACACTTTCTTCTTTGGTTTTGTGTATTTAAGGAGTTTGATTTCAAGGAAATTGATGAAGTGTTGAAATACTACCCTCAAGGACACCATGGAGTTGACAAGGAAGGACGACCTGTGTACATTGAGAGGCTTGGTTTAGTAGACTCTACCAAGTTGATGCAAGTCACAACCATGGATAGGTATGTTAACTACCATGTTATGGAGTTTGAGAGGACCTTCAATGTTAAGTTCCCAGCGTGCTCTATCGCCGCAAAGAAGCATATTGATCAAAGCACAACTATTCTTGATGTCCAAGGAGTGGTATGTAAAAGTTCCACAAAATCAACAGAAACTTATACTAGTTATAGCCAAAATATTTCATGGTCTTCTTCTTGTTATAACAGGGACTCAAAAACTTCAACAAGGCTGCAAGAGACTTGATTACTCGTCTTCAAAAGGTCGATGGTGACAACTATCCTGAGGTGTGATTTATATCTCTACTCCTCAATTATCTTCCATTGGTGAACTTATTTGATCTATGAACTAAGAGTTTAAATTTCTGAACGTCTTTGGATCAGACCTTGAACAGGATGTTTATCATCAATGCTGGCTCAGGATTCAGAATGTTGTGGAACACGGTTAAGTCCTTCCTTGACCCAAAGACTACAGCAAAGATCCATGCAAGTATTCAAAACCTTCTACTATTGAATCTTCTTCTGAATGATATTAGTTTTAAAGTAACTGGCTTTGTTTGAATACCAGGTTCTTGGCAACAAGTACCAAAGCAAGTTGCTTGAGATCATTGATGATAGGTGAGCTCTGCAAGAAGAATAGCATACAAATTAATCCATATTATTGATAACTGATGTTCTCATATCATTTGGTGACCAGTGAACTTCCTGAATTTCTTGGAGGTTCATGTACATGTGCTGACAATGGTGGCTGCATGCGCTCTGACAAAGGCCCATGGAAAAATCCAGAGATCATGAAGGTGAATGATTCTTAAGACAACTATAGCGACAGAAAAAATAACGACAAGAGTGAACCTGATTTTGCAATTGTTTCTTACAGAGAGTTCACAATGGTGATCACAAATGCTCAAAAGGATCCAAAGCTGAAAACTCTGCAGAGAAGACCATCCCTGAGGTCTTGCTTACTTTGAGCTTATCTATATTTCTTGAATATTTTCCTTTCCCTGAATCTTGATCACTCCTTCCAATGCTAATACTCTATGATCTTCCAGGAAAATGCCTCTACAACAGAGCCGGCTTCTGAAGAGGAAAAGGCTTCCACAGAGGTCGAAATTGTAAGAATGGCCAACCTCTAAATTCTTGATATCAAGTTTTGCTCATCAAAATAACCAACGTTTTTCATATTCTCGTTATTCGTTTCTCGCAACTCAGGTCCCAGCCGCTCACCCAGCTTGGAACATGCCAGAAGCTCACAAATTTTCCCTCTCAAAGAGTATGATGATGACTCTTGTGCATCCATTTTTTCTTGAAATTTGGTTGTTGTATGTCAAAGTTAAGACATATGAGCTTTAACGCTTCTTGTTATTTTGTAAGCAGAAGAAGTTTACGCCATTCAAGAGGCGTGCAACAACGCTACAACAGAAGGAGGGAGGTCACCCATTTTCACTGGGGTCATGGCTCTTGTGATGGGTGTTGTCACCATGATTAGAGTGACTAAAAACGTCCCAAGGAAACTAACCGAGTCAACCCTATACTCGAGCCCCGTGTACTGCGATGATGCGTCAATGAACAAGAGTGCGATGCAGTCAGAGAAAATGACTGTACCAGCAATCTCAGGGGAAGATTTCATGGCCATCATGAAACGAATGGCTGAGTTGGAACAGAAAGTGACCGTCTTAAGCGCGCAGCCAACAGTTATGCCTCCGGATAAGGAAGAGATGCTTAACGCTGCCATTAGCCGGTCCAATGTATTGGAGCAAGAGCTTGCTGCCACCAAGAAGGTACATATTTTCTCAATCATTAACATAAACTTGCTCCATTAAAGCTTTTTAATGCTAATTTTCTTTTGAATGCAGGCTTTGGATGATTCTCTTGGTCGTCAGGAGGAGCTCGTGGCGTACATCGAGAAAAAGAAGAAGAAGAAGAAGCTGGTAAGTCTTTTGTAACTTGATTTATGTTTAGACTTGAGACACAAAGCCAGCAAGTGTTGTAATGCTCTCTGTGACTGATCTATTGTTCTGCTTTTTCTTGGAACAGTTCAACTACTGGTGAGTGAGGAACCATGAAGGGAAAGCCTCTTGAAGAAATAGAGGATTAATGGTGGATTGATAATGCTTTATTTGTTTGATTGTATCCAAATGTCTCTGACCAATGCGCTGAAATCGTCAAAGCCAAGCTTATTGTAAAACCAATTTCTTGTTTTCTTATTATTAAAGAATGTTGAAAACGAAAGAAAGTTTTGTTCTTTCTCTGTGTATATTATATTATATACCTTCTTATAAAATTAACATGTACATCAAATTGCAATTTTCTTTTGTAGCTTCCTCCTAGTTAATACACAATTATAACTTAAGTCTTCGATCTTCTTCATCACAGAGGGGTAATTGCCAAATAAACTCAAGAAGTAAAAAAAAGGAAACAACAGAGAAGAGTTTTATTTTAAGAAAAAGGAAATTTGAATCCTAAACACATGTCAAAAAAAAAGGAAAGTTGAGTTTATAAATAGTCTCATCGTTGAGGGGAAAAAAAAAAAAATAGTCTCATCGTTTAGTATCATTGATCATCACAAACAAACCAGAGTGACCCATGGAGAGTAGACTCTTATTGATTCCTTCTGCCCGAGCGTTCAAGATGCAATTTCATGCTCTGGTTTTTCGATTCTCTTGTTCGATTTCATCTTTGATTTCTTCAAATTCCATGAGTTGTTGATCTTCGGCTCCAACTTGTTCGATGTTTGATTTTGTCGTTGCTCTTCACCAACAAGACCGGAAAAGAGAAGAGCGTCGTGGTGCAACATGATACGGACTCTTCTTCGTTTAGAATGGAAATTAAAGCCAACGGTGGGTGGTCAAGTCTAGTGAAAGATCTCACAAGCATCAATCATGTCTCGAAAAATCTAACGGAGATTTTGAGAGGACTTCGGTGTTTGTAACGGCTGGAGCGGCAATTGACGACGGAGATGGCGATTGAGGAGGTTGATTGATCGGAGATGTTGTTTTTCAATCGCACGGTGGTGGAGAAATCATCAAATCAACGAAGCCCAACAAAAGGAATTTCAGCCCATCAAGCCCATGAAACTACATCCCATGATATTCGTCAGAGGTCATTTTCTATCCCATCCTAATATTCATTTTAAGTAATTTCTTATTAATTTTAACTAAAAAGTTTTCTTTTATTATAAATAATATTATTTTAAGTAACCGTTTTCAAACTTAAGTGTTAAATTTAAATACGTGAAAACTAACCGGATTTAGCATCCCGTCATTTGTTCCGTAAGTCTTGTGGTGTCATAAATGCGACATGTTTTCACGTATTTAAATTTAACACTTAAAGACTTTTTTAAAACGTTTTTTTCTTGTGTTTGATTTTTTTATTTTTTTATTTTGATACTAAATTTACATAATGATATACAAAAACTAACCGGATTTTGGATCCAGCATTAGTCGTTAGCGATTCCAAATATTCAACTTGTTTTTCGTATCATTATTTAGATTTAATATCAAAACGATTAAATTAAAAAAACAAACACAAATAATTAAGTTTTAAAAGAGTATTTTTTTACTATACAAATATTTTTATAGATAAAATGTTTTCAAACTTAAGTGTTAAATTTAAACACGTGAAAATTAACCGGATTTAGCATCCCGTCCTTTGGTCCGTAAGTCTTGTGGTGTCATAAATTCAACATGTTTTCACTTATTTAAATTTAACACTTAAATACTTTTTTAAAACTTTTTTTCTTGTGTTTGATTTTTTTTTTTGATACTAAATTTACATAATGATATACAAAAGCTAACAGGATTTTGGATCCAACATTAGTCGTTAGCGATTCCAAATATTCAATTTGTTTTTCATATCATTATAAAGATTTAATAAAAAAAATTAAATTAAAAAAACAAACACAAGAAAAAAAGCTTTCAACTAAAAGTATTTTTAGTTATACAATATATTTTTATAAAAATAAATGTTTTCAAACCGAAGTGTTAAATATAAATACATGAAAATTAACTGAATTTAGCATTCCATTTTTTGATCTGTAAATTTTGTGGTGTCATAAATTCAACATGTTTTTACGTATTTAAATTTAACACTTCAATATTTTCATAAATAATGTTATAAAAATTGATTTGATTTGATTTTTATAAATAGTGTTTTTAATAATACTTGGTTTTTGGTCTATCATATGCTCAAAAATATTTTTAAGAAATCTCTCGACAAAAAAAAAGAATACATGTACATCAAATTGCAATTTTCTTTGTGCTTAATACAATAATACTACACGAATTGTTTTATGTATTGTATGACGTCACCAGATTAGCGGAAACTTCTGACTAAAGTGGGTCCCACCAAGAGCTTAACACTACTCGACGAAATCCACGTGGCATGTTTCATGCATCCACGTGTTTTTTATATGCTTATCTTATTTCTTTTTTTGGTAAGCTGCTTATCTTATTTCTTGAGCGTGCTCAAAGAGTAAAAATATTGATTGGCTTCCAAAAATCTCCATTTTATAGCTAACTAGATATGGACCCGTGCAACGCACGGGTTGCCGGTCGAAATGATTATTTTGAACATTTTTATTTTATTTTTGTAAGCTTAAATAAATATCTATAAACATATATATTTTAAAAAATGCAGCATAACTATTTCTAAATATAGATTTATTAGCATAATGCAAAAATATAAAACACTATTTGTAATTATGTTATACTAATTATTAAATCATCTAATATAAATATTGGTCAATTTATAAAATTATATAATTCTTTGCTTATTATAAGTTATGAAGTCATAAATATTCATATGTTGTATTATTGAATTTTAATAAGTTATTTATATCCATCGGAAGAGTGTGTTACATCTTATAATTTCAATATGGGCAAGATGGAAACAAAACTATGACAATAAGAAAAGATAAAACTATATAGTTACGTAAATATATGAACGATATATGTATAATATGTAAACATATAGTATGAGATACGTAAATATATGATTTTGTTTAGAAAAGTTTGACGTCATAATAAAATTGTGACAATAAAGGAAGAGAAAATATGAGACCGTCTATATCCATGTCATTTAACTTTACTTGATAATATGAAATATCCTCGACTGAAAGAAAAAACTTTATAAAGAATTAGAGAATATACACTAAATAACTTAAGACTGAAAAAAAAAACAAAAAAAAAAAACATAAGACTAAACATTATCTATTTGCTACATGATTTTTGTCATTTTTGGCTCATATTATTAATTTATTCGTTTTCTCTTCTTTCTAATTCTCAAATCTCTATGTTTCTCTCATTAGATTTCTCTTATTTTTGTTCGAACTTCTATTTCTTTTCCTTCTCTTCCTCTTGTCGGATTTCTTCACGACCATATCTTTATTTTTTTTTTCCCTATCTACATTTCTCACATTTGTCGGGCATCACCACCGAGTCTCACTACTTGACCCACCACCACAACTAAATCTCACTACTATCACAATCACCACCACCAACAATACCGAATCTCGCTAATTCTGACTCACCACCTTCTCTTATTACTCCACCTTCTTTATCTCCTCCGACATTGGACCAAGCCTCTCTGACAATAACTCTAGTCTATGTCTATCGCTGTTCATCATTATAAATTTGCCTTAATTGCCATATATTCATTAGATTTGAATATCACATGCTATTTTTAGGAAAACATCGTGATTCGAAATATTTTTTCTATAATTGATATGATATAACATCGTTAAAAATTAGTTTCTTTGATGAGTAAAATATGAGATAATATATTTGTTTATTTAAAGGTAACTATTTACAATCCTTTTTCTTATAGGATTAATAATTGATTGTATAATTTTCTTAATTTTTTTCTATTTTAAAATCTTTTTCTTGTACAGGTAGTAACTTATAAATAAAACGTTTATCATAATTTTATTATTTCATTTTTTATGGAAAATATACATATAATTTCCTTATTTATACATATAATTTTCTTATTATAATCTTTTTATATTCTTAAAACTATTTAAATATATATTTTTGTTATAATTATCTTTTAAAAACAAAAATTTTGTTTGCTAAATGGTAAAAACTCTTATGGAAATATATGTACAATTTCCTTAAAATTAGCTTTCTAAAAACAAAAATTTTGTTTGCTAGATGACAAAAACTCTTATGGAAATATATGTACAATTTCCTGTAATTAGCTTTTTACATTTAAAAACAGTTTAAAATTTTAATTATCTTTTTACTTTTTTTTTTTTTAAAAAGGAAAAATTTATTTGACACATGTCAAAATCTCAGATCGAATAATTTGACACGTGTCACGATCTCGTGAGTTATTAACTTTGAAAACCATACTTTATATAATAAAAGAGTTATTAACTTTGAAAACCATACTTTATATAATAAGATAGACTAATAATGAACTTCTAATTTCAGTAAAATTACTTGTGAAAATAAAAAGACTAATTACTTCAAACAATTTTTTTTTTTGGTGAGTTACTTCAAACAATTTTTGTGATATTGTTTGTATATACCAATTTCGATTCTAAATTAATGAAGACTTTAATCAAATTTTAATAATTAAGAGACAGCATGCAACTTCACATATCTTCTCATTTAAAATAATTAAATGACCGTCCGATATTGGCTTTTTATTTATATATATTTTAATTAAATATCAATCTATGAATAAAACTGAATATTCGGAAAATCGAATTAATAGAACAATTAGGAGAAGATTAACGTATTAAGCTCGTCGTCCTCTTCTTCTCCCTTTCTGGTATGGGCGCTCAAGATTTCTCTCTCAATATCTTTGCCTTTGAATTTATCTGATCCATAATAATCTCTGGATAACGACGAAGAAGAACCCATGTCCTCTTCTATAATTGCTTATAGGTATGGCGAATTGACGATACTGAGACTTTATCTTTGTTTGGTGTTTTGCTAGTTTACTAATTCGTCAAGTGTTTGATGATAATGACTCTTGAAAAAAAGTTTACTTTATCTTCTTCTCTTCTTCTGCTTTTGGTAGTCGTGTAGTTAGATTGATTGCTAAGTAAAGCCAAGATTTTTCTGGCTTCTTTTTCAAGAGGAATAACGTAAGCGAGCAAAAAGCTCCAATTATTGTCGGGAAGCAAGCTTCGATTCTGTAGTTTCCTCCCAATAAAAAAAAAAAAAAAAACATTTTTCTATAAACCCTTTCCAAATTCTGTGGATTAGACAAAAAAAAAAAGAAGGATTATTTTTATAAACCTTTTTGATTTTAGCTACTCTGTTTTTGTACTCTGTTTTTGTTAGGTGATTTTAGCAAAGAAGAAGAAGAATGGCGATGCTAGTTGATCCTCCAAATGGGATTAGACAAGAAGGGAAACATTACTACACGATGTGGCAAACATTATTCGAAATCGACACTAAGTATGTTCCGATTAAGCCGATTGGAAGAGGAGCTTATGGTGTTGTTTGTTCTTCAATCAACAGAGAGACCAATGAGAGAGTTGCTATTAAGAAGATCCACAATGTGTTTGAGAATCGCATCGATGCTTTGAGAACGTTGAGAGAGCTTAAGCTTTTAAGGCATGTGAGACACGAAAACGTTATCGCCCTTAAGGATGTTATGTTGCCTACTCATAGGTACAGTTTCAAAGATGTTTATTTGGTCTATGAGCTTATGGATTCTGATTTGAATCAGATCATCAAATCTTCTCAGTCTCTTTCCGATGATCACTGCAAGTACTTCTTGTTTCAGGTACGTTGGTTCGATACATTTTCTGTTTGTCTTGTTAAGCTTTGGTTTGTTGACTAGATTGTATCTTTTTGTCGACATTGTAGTTGCTAAGAGGATTGAAGTATCTTCACTCAGCAAACATCCTTCACCGCGATTTAAAGCCCGGGAATCTTCTAGTGAATGCTAATTGTGATCTAAAGATTTGTGATTTCGGGCTTGCGAGAACAAGTAGAGGCAATGAACAGTTTATGACAGAGTATGTGGTCACACGTTGGTACCGAGCACCTGAGCTTCTTCTCTGTTGTGACAACTACGGAACCTCCATCGATGTTTGGTCGGTAGGATGCATATTTGCAGAGATTCTTGGAAGAAAACCGATTTTCCCTGGAACAGAATGCCTCAACCAACTGAAGCTAATCATAAATGTTGTTGGTAGCCAACAAGACTGGGATCTCCAGTTCATAGATAACCAGAAAGCTAGGAGATTTATAAAGTCTCTTCCTTTCTCAAAGGGTACTCACTTTTCTCAGATTTACCCGCATGCGAATCCTCTGGCGATAGATTTGTTACAGAGGATGCTTGTGTTTGATCCAACCAAGAGAATATCGGTCAGCGATGCGCTTTTACATCCCTACATGGCGGGTTTGTTGGAACCGGAATGTAATCCGTCAGAAAATGTTCCGGTCAGTTTGGAGATAGATGAGAATATGGAAGGAGACATGATCAGGGAGATGATGTGGGAAGAGATGCTTTATTACCTTCCTGAAGCTTAAATCAATATTTTGTTAAGAGAATTGAAAATATAAGAAGTAAAATCATCTCTCTAACACTTGTTTATAATTTTAGTTTGTGGTAAGTTGTAACTAGAGGTGTTCAAGTAGACGGATAAAACTTATGTAATCATTTGGCTTGCTTCCATCGGTAAAAATGCCTTTCTCTCAAAATAAACTCTGAAAACTAAAAACTTTTTATTTCTCCGAATCAAAAATAAATTCAACATAGAAGCATCACTAAAACAACCATGAGAGACGATGGGAAGACAAAAGTAAAAGCAATTAACATGAACAACACAGTAGATAAAATTAACGAGACATGGAACCAACACAAAGCAAGTTGCTTGAGGTAATTGATGATAGGTGAGCTCTGCAAGAAGATTAGCATACAAATTAATCCATGTTATCTATAAGATTATATGACATGAAACTGATGACTGATGTTCTCATATCAATTTGTAACCAGTGAACTTCTTGAGTTTCTTGGAGGTTCATGTACCTGTGCTGACAATGGTGGCTGCATGCGCTCTGACAAAGGCCCATGGAAAAACCCAGAGATCATGAAGGTGAATGATTCTTAAGACAACTATAGCGACAGAAACATTAATGACAAGAGTGAACTTGATTTTGCATTTTAATTTCTTTCAGAGGGTTCACAATGGTGATCACAAATGCTCAAAAGGATCCCAAGCTGAAAACTCTGCAGCGAAGACCATCCCTGAGGTCTTTCTTACTTTGAGCTTATCTGCTTGAATAGTTTCCTTTCCCTTAATCTTGATCACTCCTTCCAGTGATAATATTCAATGATCTTCCAGGAAAATGACTCTACAACAGAGACGGCTCCTGAAGAGGAAAAGGCTTCAACAGAGGTTGAAATTGTAAGAATGGCAAACCATTAAATTGATATCAAGTTCTTCTCAGCAAAATAACCAACGCTTTTTTTTGTAATAATAGATAGATAATTCAGAGATTTCAAGAAAAAGAAGAAGAAGAAGAAGCTGGTAAGTCTTTTGAAACTTGATTTATGTTTAGACTTGAGACACAAGGCATCAAGTGTTGTTATGTTCTCTCTGTGACTGATCTTTTGTTCTGCTTTTTCTTGGAACAGTTCAACTTCAACTACTGGTGAGAGAGGAACCATAAAGGGAAAGCCTCTTGAAGAATCAGAGGCTTAGTGGTGGATTGATAATGCTTTATTTGTTTGATTGTATTTGTATCCAAAATGCCTCTGACCAATGCGCTCAAATCATCAAAGCCAAACTTATTGTAAAACCAATTTCTTGTTTGCTTATTATTAAAGAATGTTGAAACGAAAGAAAGTTTTGTTCTTTCTCTGTGTATATTATACTTTCTTATAAAATTACATGTACATCAACTTGTATTTTTCTTTTGTATCACAGAGGGTTATTGCCAAATAACACAGAAGTGAAAAAAGGAAACAACACAGAAAGAGTTATAAAAAAAAAAAAAAAAAGGATATTTGAATTCCAAACACATGTGAAAAAAGGAAACAACACATAGCCGTTAAAAGAAAAGGAAACTTGAATTCCCAAACACATTAGGGTTTATAAATAGTCTCATTCTTTTAGTATCACAAAAAAAAACAGAGAGACGAGAAACACAGAGAGAGTTTATAGAATGAGAAAGATGCAATTCCATGAGTTGTTTAATCTTCGTCTCCATCTTGTTCGAAGATGATACTGGTTCTTCTTCTTTTAGAATCATTCCAATTTCCAGAAATTAAAGCCAACGATGCGGCTCTGTTCACTTCTTGATCGATTAAGTCTAGTGAGAGATCTCACAAGCATCACGTCTCCTCCATTAGTCTACCAGAGATTTTGACAGGACTTGGGTGATCGGCAATTGATTGACGATGGAGATGCCAATAGAGAAGGAAGATTGAAGATTCGTTTCCCAGTTACGGTGGTGGAGAGAGAAATTAAGCAAACGGCAGCAATCATCAAAACTCTTTGGGTCTACGAAGCCCAACACGAATTTCAACCCATAAGGAACTGCCAAGCCCATACTCATTAGTCAGGTCAATTTCTTCTATTCCATCTTAATTATTCAATTTAAGTAAACTAGTTTGATTTTTTATTTTATTTTATTATACAAAATATTTTCAAACTTAAATGTTAAATTTAAATACGTGAATACGGTTAGACTTAGCATCCCGTCCTTTTGGTCCGTAAGTCTTGTGGTGTCATAAGTTCAACATGTTTTCACATATTTAAATTTAATTTTAAGGTTTTTTTCAAAAAATATGTTTTAAGTAAATCGCTTATATATTTTTTAGCTAAAAGTTTTTTACTATACAAAATATTTTCAAACTTAAATGTTAAATTTAAATACGTGAAAACGGTTAGACTTAGCATCCCGTCCTTTTGGTCCGTAAGTCTTGTGGTGTCATAAGTTCAACATGCTTTCACGTATTTAAATTTAATTTTAAAGTTTTTTTCAAAAATAATGTTTTAAGTAAATCGCTTATATATTTTTTAGCTAAAAGTTTTTTACTATTCAAAATATTTTCAAACTTAAATGTTAAATTTAAATACGTGAAAACGGTTAGACTTAACATCCCATCATTTTGGTCTGTAAGTCTTGTGGTGTCATAAGTTCAACATGTTTTCACGTATTTAAATTTAATTTTAAGGTTTTTTCAAAAATAATAATTTAAGTAAATCGTTTATATATTTTTTAGGTAAAAGTTTTTTATTATATAAGATATTTTCAAACTTAAATGTTAAATTTAAATACGTGAAAACGGTTAGACTTAGCATCCCGTTCTTTTGGTCTGTAAGTCTTGTGGTGTCATAATTTCAACATGTTTTCACGTATTTAAATTTAACACTTAAATGCTTTTTAAAAACTTTTTCTCTTGTGTTTGCTTTTTATAATTTTATTGTTTTGATACTAAATTTACATAATGATATACAAAAACTAACCGGATTTTGGATCCAGCATTAGTCGTTAGCGATTCCAAACATTCAACTTGTAGATTATGTAGATTTAGTGTCAAAACAATCAAATTAAAAAAACACAAGAAAAAGTATGTTTTACTATACAAAATATTTTTATAGATAAAATATTTTCAAGCTTATGTGTTAAATTTAAATAAGTGAAAACTAACCGGATTTAGCATCCCGTCCTTTGGTACATGAAAACTTATGTTTTAAAACTAACCTGATTTAGTAAGTCTTGTGGTGTCATAAATTCAACATATTTTCACGTATTTAAATTTAACACTTAAAAGCTTCTTTAAAACTTTTTTTTGTGTTTTTTTTTCTTAAATACGTGAAAACTAACCGGATTTAGCATCCCGTCCTTTGGTACGTGAAAACTTATGTTTTAAAACTAACTTGATTTAGTAAGTCTTGTGGTGTCATAAATTCAACATATTTTCACGTATTTTATTGTTTTGATACTAAATTTATATAATGATATACAAAAACTAACCGGATTTTGGATCCAGCATTAGTCGTTAGCGATTCCAAATATTCAACTTGTTTTTTATATCATTATGTAGATTTGGTGTCAAAACAATTAAATTAAAAAAACAAACACAAGAAAAAAAACTTTTTTATTATAAAAAATAGTTTTACAGATAAAATGTTTTCAAAATTAAGTGTTAAATTTAAATACGTGAAAACTAACCGGATTTAGCATTCCGTCATTTGGTCCGTAAGTCTTGTGGTATCATAAATTCAACATGTTTTCACGTATTTAAATTTAACACTTAAATGTTTTTTCACAAATAACACTTAAGTATTTCGGTTATCAGATCATGCAATAACCTAATTTAAATTTGGTTTGGTTATTTGATGTATACCGGATCCGGTTATTTAAATTTAATTCTCCTCGTACCTTCGGAACTATGTAGAAGGTTTTGACTCTTCCTCTTCAGTGATATGATCCGTCGCAAATCGGAATCTGCCGGCGAGATGGTTCCAGTCATCTTTGTTTCCTTGTTGATAGAGTAATCAACAATCCGAATCGGAGACGACGAAGACCCCAGTTGCAGTTATTAACTATGCAGATACCATCAAGAGACCACAGTTTCATTCTATTTCTCTTCATCTCTGGTAAAAACCTCGTCGCACCTCTTTCGAATTTTCGAGCTATTGAAAATTTATCTTCTTGGAAAATGCTGCAGCTTTTGTAATTGGTGCTGCGTCTGTACCTGTCCCTGATTCTAATTGCTACGCTCTTGACAATTCAAGTCGTCTTGTCGAATTCGTATCCTCTTTCTATTATTGTTGTTGCTTTAAGATTCTGCTTTGGTGAAAAATAGTAAAAAAGTTTGCTTTGTTGCAATGGTTTGATTTAGTGTCTTGTAAAGCTGCTTCCTTTAACTTGGTTTGTTCAGAGCAGCTGGATCGGCCATCCATTTGAATATGATGGGAAGGTTGTGTGTATGTTCTCATTCTATAATGTTGAAAGTTAGTTATAAGGACTTTTAGGTTTGATTAGGTTTGGTCTTTATTGGCGTAGGAATTTGATTTGGTGGTTAGATTCTGCAAGGATGTGGAAACAAGAGGGCAGATGGTAAACTTCTATATCATCAAATTCAAAAGCTTTGTTCAACTCTAGATTCCACCACTAATATGCGTTTTGTTTGTGTGCAGGGATATGTTGATTTTGGACGATTTGACCCGTTAAGCTACTTTGTTTCTAGTTCTGGAAATTTCGATTTTGTTCAAGTGAGAGCCTTCTCTTCTTTGCTCTGCTGTTTGGGATTAGGCATCATAGTTAGTTTCGGAACATCATAACCAATTCTTGCATTTGCGTAGACCAGTATTATCCTCGGAACATGGATTCATCTGTTAGTATATATACATATAGGGGTTTTACCATGGCGACCTGTCAAATTGTGAACAGAGTTATGACAAACTTGGACGTACAGCACAGGTTAGATATCATCTACACAAGAGTTTTACTTTTGGAGATTTTTGGTGGTTCTTGTTTTTTGAGTACGGTTTCTATGTTTTGTTCAGGTCAATATTATTTGTGGGAACTGTAGTGATGGACGGTGTAAAGGTGTGTTTGCTTCTGGTTCTTTTCTGTTTGTTTTGTTTCATCAAAATCGGAAATGCTTCTCAATTCTTGGAAAGCTATTAATTTTCATTCTTTCTTTTTCCTATCTCAGGTGGACTTGGATGCATATGTAGTGTCACCCAAGATTCAACTTGCAGGTCTGTCTGCTACTATTTGTCTCTTGGTATAGTCGATTTTTCTTACAACAAATTCCTGCTCTTTCCCACTGGTCCAGAGTTACTGTCGACTTGGCTATTCCATGTGAGAAACCTGGCCCGCGGGTGTTCAAGGGATTCACAGTCGGTTTGCATCCTCGCTCATGGGAAATTGTAAGAAACGAACAAACCCAATTTTCTGGTTACAGCTTTTTTCATACTGAACATAAACTTCAAATTGGATCCGGTTTTGGATTTTTAACCTGCAGATTTATAATGGGATGACACAGTTTGGATTTGATAAACCTCGTCGTGAGTTTAGGTATGGAATCAAGAACTTTGTTTTTCATGTTTGAGTTGTTCTGTATTTACATCCTGAAGTGTTTCTGATTTGTAGCTTCAAGACCGAGCAGACTCATCTTACTCTCTATATGACTGCAATTGCTTCTCTTTCAACATTGGTAGGGAAGCCTATCATCAAGGTTTTCCCAGAGAATGGTCTTGATGTTAAGATAGCTGGTTCTTCCTTGACTGGGAATCATCCAACAACTTTATCACCTTCAACTTTAGTACTGGATTGGAACTGTAATAAGTTCTGTTATCTTGCTTTTTGCATTGTGCCTTTGATCTTTGCTGTTACAAAACATGTAACCTTTTGTTTTTTCTCTCGAAATTTCGAAGGTGAGAAATCTCGGCGAACTCCATATGAAGTCAATGTCACCATCCCAGTGGATGGTTATGATCATGTTCAGTTTTTCCTCACAAAACTCTGCGGTGAGCTTATTATACACTCGGCTTGGTCATCCACAAGGCATTCCCTTTGAGCTGAAAACTTCCATTGCTTGCACTCTCTCTCTCTCTCTCTCTGACACATAAATATTTTTGTTCCTAAATTATTTCAGAATACAACCAAGGTAATGAAGGAGGATCAGCAAAAGGATGGGCTATATTTGGAGTTTTTTCCTGTGTGTAAGTAAATCTCACTCTCAGAAGCTTACGAACATTTGAGACAGTAAAAAAGTTTGCTTTAAGATTCTGCTTAGGATCAATTATTGGTGAAAAATAGTAAAAAAGTTTGCACAAATGCTTTATGATTTTCCATGTGGCCACATACTCAGCCCTACAATGGTGTGTTTCTTCTGATCAGATTACTAGTTGCATCTACACTTTTCTGCTGTGGAGGCTTTATTTACAAAACAAGAGTAGAACGAGTGGTAATCTTCAATTCTTCTACTTCCATTCTCGAATTCTCCTGTCATGCTATATACACACACACACACACAATCACTGATATGCTCATATGGACGCAGCGTGGAATTGATGCATTGCCGGGGATGTCACTTCTATCGGGCTTACTAGAAACTGTAAGTATTACAAGAAAACTCAACGGATTCATTTATGCAGAATCAAGGTTCTTCTGGTGTTTGGCACAATATATGGATCTCTCAAAAGACAATTTCTATGTAAGCTTATTGCTTTTGGTCTTGATAAACAGGTGAGTGGAAGTGGACAAAGCTACTCAAGAACTGAAGACATCAACAATGCTTTTGCCAATGAAGTCTCATGGGACCGCTCTTCCGCATCTTCTACTCCAGCAACAACACAGAGACCAAGTGAAAGAACATATGGTGCGATCTAAATTTGTTAATTGCCTTTGAAGAGGTACTGTTTCAAGCCATGGCATGGCACGCTTGAGATCTGCGATTTCCGGATTTTGCATTTTATTTTTAGTTTCTAGAAAGAGGGCAAAATACTAAAGAGTCAAAAAGTTAATAGCTTCACCGTGAGATTGTTGTTTTCACCAGTAGATTCATGTGCTATGATAGAAAAAGACAAGAAAATAAAAAGTGTTCTTTCTTTGCTTACTGCTTAGGTTACAAGGACAAGAGTGTGTTTATAAAGTCAACAAAGATTGAAACATTTTTTTGTCAAAGGAGTGGTTAGAATCTCTTCCTACTCTCTTACCTTTCTCACTAGACCAAAGACTTGGACTTTGTCTACGCAAACATGTTTTTATGGATATTAACCAAGTCCTTTGCAAAAAGTAAATATTGTTTTTTGCATTCCTCTTTAGATTAAGTTTAATCTAGGCTTTATATTGGTTACTTTCTTGAAAAATGATCTGTTTATTCTGTTCATACTTGGTTTCTTCGCTTTCTTTCCGAAAATAAAATCTTAAAATTTCTCTATTTTTTTTTTTCTACTAGGAAAGATAATTACTATTAGTGATTTGATCGACTACCATATGGTAGTTTAGCTTTTCTCCATCTTACTTTGAAAAAGTCAGAAAAAAAATATCAAATTAAGCATTCAATATTGAAGACATACTATATCTTTATGGCTTCTATGTTAGTGACATTTTTTATTGTTTACTCGATTGAAACACACAATCATACGCTTAAATTATCTTTGGAACTGCGGCTTCTTAATCATCTCAAAATCTATTTTTATTGTATTTTGCGAAGTGTGCCATTAGTGAAAATTGTTACAATCAAGAAGTCGAGACCAATGGATAGAGTTAAGCAAAAAAAAAACTTCGAATATCTACTCCTAGAAAGAAGAAAAAAAGTTAATAATTCAAATTATTATTATGAGTCGTTAAAACATGTATAAATATAGAAAGTCTATACATATATTAAAAACTCAACGCTTACCTTTGCTTTTCCCCTCCTCGATTCAAAAGTCAAAATTAATTTAAATAATTATGTAAACCTAAAAGAAGAGGTTAATTAGTCAAATTAAGCATGCAATGTTGGGTACCAAACCCAAGCTTTAGTTTCTTTTAACTTTCTTTTCTCCAATAAAATTTTACAATTCTTTATTTTTTGAAATTACCTTGATTGCTATCTTAATCCCGGTTTAGCTAATACCAACTCCATTTCTTCTTGCTTCTTCTTCTTCCAAGTCTTTTCCTATAAATACCTTCTTCTCCTCTTACTTCATATAACTCATCATCATCACAAAGTCTTCTCATTTCCTCATCTTCTTGTTGAAAGTAATGGCAAGACTCAAGAGCTTTCTCCTTCTTCTTTCTCTCCTTTGCTTTGTCCCTCTCTGTCTCTGTGACACGAGCAATGGAGGCAAACTCTGCTCTGGCTTTTACGCCCGTTCATGCCCGCAGGCCGAGGAGATCGTAAGATCAGTTGTAGCTAAAGCTGTTGTTAGAGAGACCCGTATGGCTGCTTCCTTATTGAGACTTCATTTCCACGACTGTTTCGTTCAGGTTTGGTTAAATTTTTCAACGTTTCACCATTATTTGTTACTTTAAGTTTACTTGTTGAACAAGGTAACTGTGAAATGTAGGGTTGTGATGGCTCTTTGCTTCTAGACAGCAGTGGAAGGATAGTGAGTGAGAAAAACTCAAACCCTAACAGCAGATCGGCTCGTGGGTTCGACGTAGTTGACCAGATCAAAGCTGAATTGGAGAAACAATGCCCCGGAACTGTTTCTTGCGCTGATGTTCTTACCCTAGCCGCTAGAGACTCCTCTGTTGTTGTAAGTTGCCTCCATAATCTCTATTGTCTCAAACCAAAACTGAATCATCAGCTAACTCGATTTTGTTTTTGGTTTAGACCGGTGGACCAAGCTGGGTGGTTCCATTGGGAAGAAGAGATTCGAGAAGTGCAAGCTTGAGCGGTTCGAACAACAACATCCCTGCACCAAACAACACTTTCCAAACCATTCTATCGAAGTTTAACCGTCAAGGACTTGATGTCACTGACCTTGTTGCTCTTTCCGGTAAGCTTTCGTCACTCCATCACAGTTGCATCACACACATGGAACACAATTAAAGAAACCCCATTATATGTTACTTGCTTCTCAAGCCACCACACTTGTCAAATGTTTTCTCAGGTAGTCACACCATCGGATTCTCGAGATGCACGAGTTTCAGACAGAGGTTGTACAACCAGTCCGGAAACGGCCGTCCAGACATGACATTGGAACAGTCATTTGCTGCTAACTTGCGCCAAAGGTGTCCGAGATCCGGTGGGGACCAGATTCTCTCGGTTTTGGACATCATCAGCGCCGCAAAATTCGACAACAGCTATTTCAAAAACTTGTTAGAGAATATGGGGCTATTGAATTCGGACCAAGTTTTGTTCAGCAGTAACGAGAAATCGAGAGAGCTAGTGAAAAAGTATGCAGAAGATCAAGGAGAGTTTTTTGAGCAATTTGCGGAATCGATGATCAAGATGGGAAATATCTCTCCCTTGACAGGTTCGAGTGGCGAAATCAGGAAGAATTGCAGGAAGATAAACTCTTGAATTCTTGAAACAAGAAAAGTGTTTGGGTCGATAGCAATAAATATATCTTGAGGAAGAAATGTGAGACATTTGCTTTTACAGTTTTACTTGGTGTGTGTGTTTTTAATCTTGTTTTTTTTTTTGTTCATTCTGTCATTTGAAGTTTTATGTTGGGTTATTTGCTTTGTGTTAAGACATAAGCTTGAAATTTATAAAACCAAAAAACTTGTATGAGGAAATATTTAAAGAAAAATTTCAATAGTGAATTTCCAAAATTGTGGTATCTTTTTTTTTTTTGTTCAAAATTGTGGTATCTTTTTGAAATAACATTTTAACTGTATTTTTAAAATATTTTCTGTATAATATTACTTTTGAAATCATCTTTTAGTATTAAAGAAATGTTATAAATTTCAAATAATTAAACAATAGATCTAGGCTTTATATTGGTTATATACTTTCTAAAAAATAATTGATTATTCTGTTCATACTTTGTTTCCTCACTTTTATTATACGTCTACAAAAAAATACTAGATCAGTACAATTAGTCTCTTAATTACTGTCCGAAAAGAACATCTTTAAATTTAATTTGCTGTTATTGGGCCTAAACCGAACCTAAATAATTTGGGAATTTAGAAAACGGTAAATTTGAAAATTGATTGGGCCATAAAGGCCCAGTACTATCACCTCTCATTTAGTTAGGGTTTATGCTTCTTCTTCTCTCAGATGCTCTGACATGAAGTCTCAACGAAGCTAACATCAATTCGATAAAGAGTGAAACTATGAGGAATCTGCGAATCATCTCCTCTCATTTCTCACGAGTTTTGAAATCCATCGAGACACACCCAAGTTCTAATCATTTGTTCTCGATCCAATCTCGGAGCTACTCATCGCCGGCGACCCAATCGGAGAACGTCTCCAAAATCGTCAATGAGCTATCGAATCTTACTCTCTTGGAAACAATGGATCTTACTGAGATCCTTAGACAGAAGCTAGACATCAGTGAGTTGCCTGTGATGGCGGCGATGATGCCAGGGATGTCATTCCCGGGATCTGGAGCTGGTAAATCCACCGGCGGAGAAGGGAAAGAGAAGAAGAAAGAAGCAAAGACTGCGTTCGATGTGATGCTTCAAGCTTATGAAGCAGTGTCGAAGATAAAGGTGATTAAAGAAGTGAGAACGATTACGGATTTGGGGTTGAAGGAAGCGAAGGATTTGGTGGAGAAAGCTCCAACCTTGTTGAAGAAAGGGGTTAGTAAGGAAGAAGCAGAGAAGATCATTGAGAAATTGAAGGCTGTTGGAGCTAAAGTTGCTATGGAGTGACCATTGTTAGGTACCTCTATTGAAAATTCTTCAACTTTCGATTGCTCTTAAGCAGATGAATTAGCTAGCTTTGGATTGTGTGAGCATGGTGTTGAATTGTAGTACCTATTAGGTATGAGAATTGGAAAGGAACATTATTTGATTCTGGAATTGGATAAAGTTGCTTGCTTTTTTTCTATGGGAAGTAAAGTTCTGAGCTTGATGTTGAGTTTCTTGTCAAAATGTACAGAGCATAAATGATGTTCAATTGAAGGAATCTTGAGGAAGAGCAATTAGAATAGCTTTTGTAGTTTATTAGAATAGATTTTTGTCTTGAAACATCAATTGATAGCATCTGTATGATTTTCGTGAAGGGTTTCGTCTTTACTTTCACATGCTTAAGCTTTTAGCTTTTGACACTGCAGGAGTTACTAAAATGGAGCATGAGCAGGAACAAATGAAGCTTCTGCTGAGTAGTCCTTCGTATTGTTTATTACAAATGTAAGATGTCATGGAAAGTCATCAGCAGCTCTTTTCTTTAGAGGTAGAAACAGATTTTTGTCTTCAATCAAATATACACGAAGGCTTGTTAGAAGCAACATTCTCTTCTTTGGATCAATCATTCTCTCAGTTCGTGGTTTGTACTAACAGTTGTTGATGATTTCTTTCATATAATAATGAATCGTGTTATTTCCAAACTTTCAAGTTTTATGCTCAAGCTTTTCGTATGGTTAAAACTGTAGAAAGTAGCTGTTCTTGTTTTAAAGATAGCAACAGATCAAGAACTTGACCTGAGATCATCATGCAATTTGTTTCTAATCACAATATTATAGGAGATGTTATACTTTATCGTCATGGAAACGCCACCTAGTTTCTTTGGGAGATCTTCCATGTTTGCAGTTTTTCAAGTAATGATCATTGTCTTTTGGCTTTTGCTGCAAGGAGAGAACAAGAAGAAACATCATAAGAAGAAGATTCTACTGTGAAAACCTTTGAAAGATGCGAATTCGTAAAACACACATATACCTTCACGGATGAGCTGGAGAGCATTGAGAGAATGCTGAGACAGATCGAACTTAGTCTCATAGCCGGTGACCACGAGTCATACAAAACATCTGCATCATCAAAAATACACATAGAAGCTCTTGTCATTGGACTAGGAAAGAGAGAGTAAAACACAAGTGATTCATTGTGTTTATGAGTGTTTAGTATGTAACTTACCCAAACAAATGTGACCGTTGCTGTAAACATGAGGATGAAGTGGAGCTGGATGCTGAAAGATGACCTGTTTACGGGTGAAACCATCGCGTTATGGGATTTGATGCGATAATTAGGTATCGTTAAGTATTAACGAAAGGAGTTTGAGGCCAAACCTGTGGAGCTTCCATAGGATAATGCTCAGGGAAGTCAACCTGAAGTTGGTAAGTTTCATTGGCATAAAGAGTTCCCGGAACTCCATGCACTTCAATGATCCATCTGTTCACACCAACAATTCAACATTACATCATCGACTATCGATATTCAAAGGAAAGACAGACGGAAAATGGTTACATACCGTTGGAGATTATCAGAGACTCTGTGCTTGAAACCAGCAGGAGGATTGGTTTGCCACTCCGTAAACTCTTTCTGCAACCGGTTCGTGGCGATTTTGGTCAGACCCTAACATAAAAAGAACAAAAGAAAGATGATCAAACCAAAGACAACAAGCGAATAAACCAAAAAAAAAAAAATATAATGTAATGTATACTAAGAAGCAATTAACCAACCTTGCGAGTTGATTCAGAAGAACTCGTCATTTTTGCTTAAAGTTAATAGAGTGAGTGTGAGAGAGAGAGAGAGAGAGATTGTGTGTGTTTTGTCTCCTTAGCCATATCCAACGAGCTTTTTATAGTGTCTTATCATCTTTGTAATTTGCATGTACAGTCATCGATCTGACGTCGTTTTATCGTGTCGGCTCTCTTTAATCCGGGACTTTCCACTTGTGTTGGAGAACCAAATCTTCACACGCTTTTGCAACTCTCGCGATCATGATCAAACCAGTTAGGAATATTATCGTAAAACATTCCAAAATCTATTTTCAGAAAACCAAATTTCCTAAATCACAAATCTCATACTATTATGATATAATCTGAATTATGGAAATTTTATAATAACCAAACTGATGCATGCATTAACCAAATATAATAATTGATGCATGCATCATGTAAAAATTGACCCGTAACAATGTTTTAATTTATTTCTCGTTACGGGTCATCGATGCCTTGGATTTTTTTTATCGATGATATATATATTGCTTTCATTGTCTTTTGGCCCTTGTGAATATTTTGAATGGATCGATGGTTACAAAAGTTGTAAGCAACTTGATTATATATCAAATTTGACTAGTCATTATTACAATTATGATTCATGATGTTGTTGACTTGTTGTATGCATTGGCTTCACCTTTAACCAAAACTTGTACACATTTGTTCCATGGAAACTATGGTCTATGGCTATGGTAATACGGCTCTTAACTTCTTATATTCCTATCTAGTTAGGTCCAACTTAGGTCTCAGAAGAATATATACTTGGTAGAAATTAGAACAAATAGGTTAAAATCCATATCTTATCTCTTGAATTAGAGTAGTTATTATTCCGGTTTGTCCGACGAATTTGGTTTCTCTTAGAGTATAAGACCTATTAAAGGAAGGTTAACAACCATGGAAAAAAAATTAAAGTCTTTTGTGAACAAATCAAGAGAATCCATTATAACAGAAATTGCCAAGAATAGAAAGCTATAATGTGAGAGATTCTTGATAATACTATTATTATAGATAGATTCTTTTATCTTTTCGAGTTTTGGTCTAAATACACTGCAAATTTGGACTTTAAATACACGTAAGATCCATAGGTTTCGATTCTTTCTTTCCTTAGTAATAAGATATAAAAACAAGGCAACAACAACAACAAAGAAGAAGAAGCATATACACTTTTGAGTTTAAAGACTTTTTAATCAGCACTTGTTTTTTTGTTCCTTTGCATCAATCATATCGCTCAAACTTGGCTGCTCATGTTCCAAATTCCTGTTTGAAGAATCATCTCATCTCCACCTTGCATTCGCCGAAAAAAGAATGTCAATGATTCCAAAATAAAAGATGATGATTCTTCACTTTCGACGTTGGAAGAGCATTCATAGATAGAAAGATAGATGCTTTCAATAATTTCGGTGCGTAATCATAAAGCATAATAATCTTTTACCTTAGTGAGAGAAGAGAGAGTGAGGAAGAACTTTGTAAGGGTTGAGAATTCCCTTTGGGTCCAGCAACTTTTTAATGGAAGCCATTAATGCAACCTGCATATATTATATTCCGGTAAGAATAGAGTGACACGATAGTTCTATACATAGTTTCCATTTGTTGGTTGTTAACTCACGGTTTCGGGTGATTTGCTATAGAAGATTTCATTAGCTTTCATCACACCTAGTCCATGTTCTGCACTGATGCTTCCACGGTGCTTTGATGTCCACTCATAGACATAAGGTTCTATCAAACCTAAAAGCTGTAAACAAAAGAGTGAATGAATGATCATTTGAACATCTTGGAACGTTTCATATCGATATCTGTATTTCAACCTTATCGTTATATTCTGCAGCAGAGATGTTTAAATGTAGATTTCCGTCTCCAAGGTGACCATACCCCATAACATTTGCTAAGTCACCTGAAGCATATGCATATTTAGTTGCAGTTTTCATTGAATCTTTCAGTTTCAACTTTCATTGAATCTTTCGGTTTCAACTTTCAAGTAATTAGGAGACAATGCATTGATATATTTCTTACCTAATTTCCCTCGAAGATCGTTAACAATATTGTAAATTTCTTCAACCGGTAAGGATAAGTCATACTTGTAAACAGCTCCTGCTTTCTGTAACGCCTCTGTTATACCCTGCAGGGTAATAATTATGACTTTATTCGTCGTGTAACATCAAGCTTTTTGAGGGGAAATAACTCTCAAGTGTTTTACCTCTCGTATGCGCCAAAATGAGGATGCCTGGTTAATGTCTTGAGCGATTACACCATCAGAAACTAAACCTTTTTCCAGTGACTTTAACAGGAAAGCTTCAAGCTTCTCCCTGCATTAGTTTTTGAATCAGGCAAAAACTCTCTCAAGGGATCTGAAATACTTAGAATTCAATTAAATGGTACTGGAAAATTGTGAAAGTCACAAGAAAGACCAGAAAATTCTCAATACCTGTCATTAGTTTCATCACTCCCCGTTGTCTCTATCAGAATATAAAAGTTCTCCGAACAGGAAACTGGATTACGTACACCGTCTAGGTGGTTCAGTACCTGTTGAATGTATTAAAAGAGAAAGGGTTTAGCAAAAATCATAGACTTGTACGCAAGATAAAGTATCTGGAATGCAAACAGTTCCTATTAGGAACTTCCTAAAAGCTTACCAAATCCATGGAATTGTTATCAAGAAACTCGAAAGCGGATAGTATCTCTCCAAGATTTCTCTTTGCTTCAACAAGAAGTTTCTGGCAACAAAGGAAACACGATGAGAGACAACAGGTCACGCACTATCTCCTCTGTGGAGAGAATTCAACTACAGGAGTACAAAAGAAATTGTATAAAACCTGGCAGCTGAGATAATCTTTGCAGGCGATGAAGGCTAAATTTACAGAAGACAATTTTGGTTGTGTGAGAATAGAAACTTTAGTTACAATACCAAGTGATCCTTCACTACCTGTGGAAACCAGTAAAGAGAAAAATTCAAGATGATTTAGTCTCTTTTGCTAATGAAGTGACACTTGAAATCATTGTACAAGCACAAGCCAATAGTAATACCTACCGATAAACAAATGTTTTAAGTCGTACCCAGTATTGTCTTTGCGTAAAGTTCCAAGCATGTCAAGCACGTTGCCATTTGCTGTGACAGCTTCTAGACCTGAGATGAAGAAAATAAAAATGATGAAGATGAAACCCAAATGTATTCAGATGGATCGAAAGTAAACAAGAACTGTAAGTCATTACCCAATACGGTTCCATGAAGTGAGCCATAACGGATTAGACGCAAACCACCAGCATTAGTTGAAACATTTCCACCGATATGACAGCTTCCTTTTGCACCTAAGTCTAGAGGCATAATAAAACTGAGGAAGCATAAATTTTATGTTGCAACATCTGACAAAAAACCAAGCTAGTTCACTGTATTAATTTTGTGTTCGTTGTTACTAAAAGAAGATAAGAAGACATGGCTATCTTACCCTTTTGTGTCAAGGAAAGTTGCCAAATTTTCTAATATGCATCCTGCTTCACACACCAAGACGCCACTAACCTGAAGATAGAGCATCGTATCATCATCAAGTATATAGTTATATTGCTCAAAGAGGAGCAGTAGTTGATCTGAGTATAAGATTGTCAATTACCTCATCAAAAGCTAAGACTTTATTCATCAGACCAACATTGATGATCACCTGAAAAATGCCACAAATTAGTCGCCTTTATGAATGCAAAAGCTTCTTTTTGTTCCTATTTCACTTTTTCAGTATCTCCCACATTCCTTAAAATTTTCTTTGCTAGCTTTTTTACACTACATATCCAACATTTTTGACAATCACCAATCAACATGAGTAGAGAAACAGCATAGAACCTCATCAAAGACAGGCACACTTCCACCAACAAGACCAGTGTTTCCTCCTTGAGGAACAACAGCTAAA